TGCGATCCCGTTGCCGGTCCAAGTCCGGTACAGGCGTGACACTGAGGGTTGCAATCCGTTGCCGGACACGAAAAAAGACAAAAAAAAGGAAAAAATAAATAAAATAAAATAAAAAAATAAAAAGAACTATACTGTCTCAGTTACACCTAAAAGTTGAGAAGAAAGACCAGATATAAGAGTGTTAGGTTAAACAGTACTTCCCCCCAAAAAAGATATGTTGAACTCCTAACCCCCAATACCTCAGAAAGTGAACTTATTTGGAAATAGGTCATTGAAGATTTAATTAAGATGAGGTCACACTGGAGGAGAGTAAGCCCTAATCCAATATGACTGGTATCCTTATAAAAAGATTAAACTTGGACAAAGAGACACACAGGGAGAACACCATTTGAAGATGAAGGCAGAAAAGTCAGGGTGATGCTTCCACAAGTCGACGAACACCAAATATTGCCAACGAACCACCCAGAAGTTAGGAGAGAGGCATGGAACATATTCTTCCTCACAGCCCTCAGAAGAAACCAACTCTGCAGACACCTTGATTTCAGATTTCCTGCCTCCAGAACTGTGAGATAAATTTCTGTTGTTTAAGCCACTTAGTTTGCAGTACTTTGTTACAGGAGCTCTCTAAGTTAATACAGAGTATTCCAGTGATCCTCATAATAGAGAATGGAGAAAAGGGAAAAGAAGCAGAAAGTGAAAGGTCTCATCTTACCATAGGGAAGAAGTATTACACCTTGATGGGGAAAACAGAGTGTCTTGGTTTATCAGTTTTCTCTTCCTGTATAACAGTACCACACACTTAATGGCTTAAAATGCCACAAGTTTATTATCTAACAGTTTCTCTGAGTCAATAACACAACTACAGGTTAGGTGGGTCCTGTGCTTTGGGTTATACAAGACTGAAATCAAGGTGTCAGCTGGGGCTGTGATCTCATCTGAGGCACAGGGGCCTCTTCCAAGCTTACTGTGGGTGGCTGTTTTCAGTTTCTTACAGTTGTGGGACTAAAGTCTCTGTTTTCTTCTTGGCTTTTGGCCAGGGGTCATTTTCAGCCCCTTTAGACTGCCTTCAGATTCTAGCCACATGACCCTCTCACAACATGGCAGCTTACTTCTAAGCCAGCAGGAAAATCTCTCCAGTGTGCTATAAGAGTCTTATATGAGGGTACTTCAGAAAATTCATGGAAAAATTGAATTAAAAGATAATATGAATCCCTCTATGAACTTTTTGAAGACCCCTTGTATAATGTAACCTAATCAAAGGAATGACTACCCAACATATTCACAGGTCCTGACCACACTCAAGGGGAGGGGATTATGTAAGGTGTGTACACCAGGGGACAGGAATCTTGGGGGCCGTCTTAGAATTCTGTATACCGCACTTGGTTATGGAAATAATAGTATACTGTTTTCAAGTAAGGACAGAGTCATATGGATGCAATCATGCAAGCCAAAAAGTAAAGAAGATAATCACTAATGGAATAAAAAACTACATTAAAATCTCTGGCCTAATAAGGGAAATGATGAATGTCCTGAGTAAAAATAAGGAAAAGGAAAAAGTATAAACAACATTATAAGATAATTAAGAAACCTGACATTAAGATGAGAGGAATAAAACAAAATAGATCAATCATTACATTAAATGTGATATGTTGAATCTCCCTTTTGAAAGACAAGGACTCAGATTGATATAAAAAGCAAAACATAGTTATAGTTTTCCAGGAGCATACTTAAAATAAACTGATGAAGAGACTTCCTCTTTGGCAGTGGCAGATAGGTAATTCAGAGCAGCCTCCCTGCTGAAGACAACTGAAAAGCAGGACAAAACTTTAAAAGAATCTTCTTCCTAAAAGCATCAAAGCATTAACATAATGATGAGCTATAATACCAGATCAACATCCAGTAGAAGACAAATCCAGGAAGAAGTCCAACATGTGGAGTTACTTGTCTAGAGTACACCCTTTTCAAAAGAAGCAATGAGGCTGCTGAAAAGCTCAGAATTTGACCCATTCTTGAGCCAAGGGAATAAAATAGAGTCCAGGGCCTACCGAAGATGGCATCCATAAAAACCACGCTACCCTTTGGGTTGACACTGTGAAAAGCTGTATCCCAGGAGACAGGATAAACCAGAAGTAATGACTCTTTATGTGGACTGAAGCTCAGGGGTGAATCATCTGTCCAAGAAAATGTTAAATCCCAAAATTGAACTAAATTGATCCCAGAAACAAAAATTCACTCTAGAGAAATATTATAAAATTGATTGTAATAATGTCTGCACAACTCTGTAAATATACATGGGTACTTCAAACAGTTTGTGGGGAAATAGAGTAAAAAGATAACATGAATCTTCTCATGAATTTTTTGAAGTACTCTTGTACTAAAAACCATTGATTGTATACTTTAAATGAGTGAATGATATGTGAGTTACATCTCAAAAAAACCTTTTACATGAGAAGGAAAATCTAGAGTGAGGTAAAATAACCGTAGACCTCAAATTGTTTTTATAAATAATTTTTCAAATAATTTTCTACTAAAAAATAACTAGGCACATGAGGAAACACAACCTCATGAACAAGAACCAGCATTAATAATAGGTTACAGAAAGGGATCCACTGGTACTTCCAAGAGTGACATTATTAGACACAGACTATCAACAAATATGCTAATGAACACATGAAAATAGAATCAAACTAAAATTTTAGGAAGGAACTGAAAACAGTCACATCACAGGTTTGAAAAAAAAACAAAAATTTTAAGTATTGACCTTATATTTCTGGTAATGGCAGAGTACCTTTTACTAGATCAAGATCTCTGCAGATAATACTCTATACTCTGGAAAATGTTTAAAAATGACCACCTGAAAGGACTGGAGAGTAACCAAAAGCAGGCAGAAACTGGAGTGGCATCTACAATTGACAGAAGAGAACCACACTGAGTAAATTTCCTATTTTTACAACTTCTTACCTGAGGACAGACCAGTCAGCACCGGGCAAGGCTGCTAAAACTTGATGGCAAGCCACAGTCTAGACTTCTGATTTCGTCCAATATGGAGTAACAGAGACCAGATTTATCCTCCCACTTGGAACAACAACAACAACTTCAAAAAACCCAAACAAGGGCCGGCCCGGTGGCGCGCTGCTACAGTGCGCCACTTGAGAGTGCGGCGGCGCTCCCGCCGAGGGTTCGGATCCCACATACAGACCGGTTCCCGCTCACTGGCTGAGCGAGATGCGGGCGCAACACCGAGGGTTGCGATCCCGTTGCCGGTCCCGGTCCGGTACGGGCGCGACACTGAGGGTTGCGATCCGTTGCCGGTCACGAAAAAAGGGGAAAAAAAAAAAAAAACCAAAAAAAATATATAAAACAATGGTTTTCAAGACACTGACCATCAGGCAAAAAAGGACAGTGAGTTCTGAGCAGTGGAAGCAGTAAACCCTATGATTTTCCTAGCTTACTACCTTTAGAAAGTGTCTAGTCCTCAGTGTAGAGGGGAACCCAGGCAGGACCCATTTCACTCCCTGAGTTGAGAAGACAGAGCTGAGAGCCCGGATAGATTGAGGCAGGTAGAGTTCACAGGACTGAGTAACAGAGGAGAATGCTTGTGTAGAGAGAGAACTCCAGAGATCTGTAGATCTCCAGAGATCAAGTATTCAGCAAAGAACTGATAAACACATGCATGTGAAGAGACTGCCCAAAGCCAAGGACAAAACCACTCAAGGTGATTAGAGGGAAAAATGTCCAGTACTCACACAGGACCAGGAATAGTGCCTGTATCCATCAGACAGACTGAAATAACTCATGATTCACATAGCATTAAGAGTTACTGAAAAGGGTCTTGCCTCAGTAATGGGGAATAATTTGTCCTAGGTAAATGCTGCCCTCGTTCTGCCTGACAAATCTTAAGAGCAAAGCCCAAAGTGTCTGTTTCCAAGTAACTTAATTGTGTCAAAGAACAAAGCTCAAGAATATTTATAGAAATATGAAATATCCATCACCCAGCGATATAAAATTAACAATTTCTGGCATCTAATCAAAAATTACCAGGCATGCAAAGAATCAGGAAAATACAATCATAATAAGGTGAAAAGTGGATTAATCAAAGCCAATCTAGAATTGACTCAGTTTAGAATTAGCATGTATGGAAATTAAAATTCATAACTATACTCCACATATCTAAAAAATAAGTATAGACATAGACGATATATGTATGTGCATGTGTATGTATCTCCAAATTTAACTTTTAGAGATGAAAACTAGTTTCTGAGATGAAAAATACATTGGATTAATAGTGCTTAGACATTGCACAACAAAAGATTGGAGAACTTAGGAACATAACAAATCGAAACTATCCAAAATGACATAGAAAGAAATATGTTTTTTTTAATTGAAAGAGCATCAGGGAGCTTAGGAACAACAAATGCTATAATATACGTGTATTTGGAGTCCCTGAAAAGAGGGGTCAGGGGCCAAAAAATAATTTTTAAAGAAATAATGGCTCAGAAGTTTAACAATTTGATGGAAACTATAAGCCCACATATCCAATAAACTTGATAAGCTAAGAACAAGAAACACGAAGATACTAAGAAACATCATAATCAGATTGCTCAAAATCAGGGATAAAGAGAAATCCTTAAAAGAGCCAAAGGGAAAAGATAGATACAAAGGAACAAAGATAAGCATAACAGCATTTTCTCCATGGAAACAAAACAAGATAAAATACTCGAAGAAAAATTGTCAACTTACAATTTTATACTCAGTGAATATATCTTTCAAAAACAGAGGCCTTCTTGAAAAGCAATTTGGTAACATCCATTCTACTGCAGGGAGTATATTCCATACTATGAAAGCTCCAGAACTTAAGGACATGTACAGAGATGATTACTGTAGCATTCACAGCAGAGTAGTGATAGGTGAATGCCTGTCAATAGGGGGATGACAGAATAAACTGGGGTATGTCCACTCCCACAGACTATCAAGCAGCCATTAAAAAGAGTGAATTAGGGTTATAACACATGACTTAGAGGGCTATCCACATGGTTATTGCATAGAAAGTAAAATTCAGATAATGTGTATGATATACTATTTTTTCAAATTATGTTTTTAGCTGGTAAAGGGATCAGAACTTTTGACCTTGGTGTTATAACATATAACACCACAGTCTAACCAACTGAGCTAACCAGCCCACCCTGATATCCCATTTTTTTTCAGTAGACAATCCCAGGAAAAGGAAAAAAGTTATACAGTCAACATCAAGCCATTCAGATTGCTCTGCCTTTATGCATGGTCCCACTCCAAGAAGTTCAGTTTGCTTTCCTCGTGTCAACTTACCCCAGATTCCCTGACACTTTCTATTGTTGATGGGGGAAGCCCAGACCGAAGGCCTAGTTCCTGGGTGAGATCCAGGGCATTTAGAGTATAAAATTCATTTCAAAATAATATTTAAGAATATTTCAGAGATGAGGCTTTTTCCCCCAGTTTTGTCATCCTAGCAAAGTCGGATAATGTGTATTTGAGTTGAGTTTTCTTGAACATTACCATTAACTTCTGGATTTGCAGCCAGTGAGGACCAGCCAGAGAAGCCTCACTTTGACTCTCGCAGTGTGATATTTGAGCTGGATTCATGCAATGGGAATGGGAAGGTTTGCCTTGTCTACAAGAGTGGGAAACCAGGTAAGAATTATTTACAAGCGTTGTCCTATAGTTTGGGTGTGGTCTTGCCTGAGCTTATCAGCCATCCATAAAAGGCACATACCTCCCTGTCTTCCTGAAACGCTGCCAGGTCTCTTGTATGTGACAAGACCCAGAAAGCACCTTTGGTCCTCTCTGAGAATCTCCCTCTAGGCTAATTACTAGAGTATTTTTAGCCATCTTCTTTTGTGAGTTACTGCAAAACTGTCTATGAGATTAGGATAATAGGTGAGTAAAAACTAAAAGAAATAGTCATTCTGTTTATAAACTCCTGCAGCAGGCTCATGCATTAGATAAGCATTTTAAGCCAATTAACAGCAATAAGTCCTTAATTACTAGAGTACAAGGCCCCAGATGGGAAATCAGAGAATATCCTTGAGCAGCAGCTGCCACTTGGTGCTACCTAACAGCAGTTCAGGGTCTAGCTTAGGGACTGTGAAACCATAGAGCTGGACAAAGCCAAGCCCTATTCAGGAGCTCTCTGGCTGGTAGGGGTGAGAAGGTACATCAGGATTTACCTCTGGGGCAAGGAGAGATCATCTGCTGGAGGAATTTTTGCAAAGTAGCCTTTGGCCTGCAGCTTGAACTATTGGTAGGAATTATATATGTGGTGGTGGGAGGAGGAATTTGATAGGATAAAAAGGGCGCTCAGGCAAAGGACAGATGGATAAAAACCATGCATAGGAACAACTATTGGTAGGAATTATATATGTGGTGGTGGGAGGAGGAATTTGATAGGATAAAAAGGGCACTCAGGCAAAGGACAGATGGATAAAAACCATGCATAGGAACGTACAACTGTTTTGCAGGGAATGAAAAATAATTCTAATTCATTGGCCACATGGTTCATCCAGGGGAAGCCAGAAGGCCAATTGCTCCCTCTCATGCTGAGCTTTGAAAGGCAAGCAGAGGAATTTGGACATAAAGTGGAAGACAGTGGGGAGTCAGTCAAGGTTGCTTAGCAGAATGGCAGGATCCAAGTGAACATGTTTGTGACCACAGCAGTTTTGGAAAAAGAAGAGACTGGATGATAGAAGTCACTCAAAGAGATGTTACAGCTGTTTGGACAGCAGATGAACCTAGAATAGGCTGGAAGTAAGAATGAAAGGTCAGAAACAGGTATGAGGCAGAAGCTGGTACAATAGTGCCTGCTTCAGCTCCACCAGCCCATCACACAACAGCACCGGCAGGATTCCCCAGGAGTGAGCTGGTCTGGGCTTCTTCATGGTGGTTTCTCACAGCACTTCTTATTGCTGAGAGAGACATCTTCAAAAAAAGCCCGAGCCATTCAGAATTTCTCTCCATCAGGAAAGCTAAGTCACAGTATATACCCCCTGGGGGAGGGGATTTTTACACAGAAAAGGAGCCTCTGCTTAGATAGACTGAATGGACTTCCAGCTGATCAGAGTCCAGCAGATCAATCGACTGATTCGTCAAGAATTTGTTTAAAAAAAAAAAAAATCACAAACTGTTAAAATGGCCACTGTGGGACTGGGAGGTTGGAAGGGAAAAAAAGGGAACTTTTATATTTTATATCCTCTCTACTACTAGAATTTTTTTAAACCATGAGTATATATTGACTTTATAGTTAAAAGAAAAAAAGTGTTAAGCTAGCCTTTATTTGTTTCGTTTGTTTGCTCTTTCAGGATTAGCGCAGGACACTGAGATCTGGTTCCTGGACAGAGCATTATACTGGCATTTTCTCACAGATACCTTTACTGCCTATTATCGCTTGCTTATCACCCACCTGGGCCTGCCCCAGTGGCAGTATGCCTTCACCAGCTATGGCATTAGCCCACAGGCCAAGGTAGGAGCGGAACACCTGTCATCCCAAACTGCGATGTGTATCAAAGTCTTCTAAGGAAATGGTTAAATTGCAGATTCCCAACTTCCCTGCCTGATTCAGATCAGGTATGGAGCCCAGGAACCTACATTTTCAAGAAGCAAGGCAGGTGATTCCAATGTAGTGGATACCCTCACTTTATACTGGCCTAGTCAAGTGGTTCCCAAACTTGGCTGAGCCTCAGATTCACCTGGGGAGTTTTTATTTTTAATTAAAATGTCCTGTTGATTGTTTTGGATTGGCAATACATGCACACAGAAAGAGTGGAAAGTGTCTCATTCCTGTTCTCCCAGTGTACTTCCCCAGAGGCAGCAGCCACTGTCACCAGTTTCTTGTGTGTCCTTTCCGAAGTACTTACTGTATATAAAGCATGCATGTATGTCTTTTGGTTTCTTTTTTCTAAATCATATCAGTACACGTAGAGCTGCCCTGCCTTTTTTTTAATGACTATGGAGTATTACATTGTACGGATGTGCCTCATTTATATTACAGGTCTGGGCGTCATTTCAACCAGACAGTGCCAGATAATACTGGTAAACAACTTGGTTGGAGAACCCAAGTTTGGCTGTAAGAACTTATAACTGTAGTGAGCTGGTCTGGGCTCCTCCATGGTGGTTTCTCACAGTACCTAATTATCAGTAAGTTAGGGACTTAGCCTCATCACTCCCTTACTCTGTACTCATCTCATGGACCTCATTTTCCTTAAATATCACATAATGATAACATATATCTGGTCAACATTGTGAGGTGGTCGTGATCAATGAAAAATCAATAATGTGAGAGCCCTTTGCCCTCAGCTGCCTAGATAGCAGCAAGGAAGAGACCACCACATGAGGCTGGCTGCTGTCAGGTGCTTCTCCAAGGGGACGAGTGCTGCCAGAATCTACTTGAGGGTACATAGCTGGTTTGAGAGCGGAACACTTACAAGGACAGTGTGCCTAGATAGCAGCAAGGAAGAGACCACCACATGAGGCTGGCTGCTGTCAGGTGCTTCTCCCAGGGGACGAGTGCTGCCAGAATCTACTTGAGGGTACATAGCTGGTTTGAGAGCGGAACAATTACAAGGACAGTATCCCTTGTAATTTGGGATCTAGCATCCCTGGCTCAGGGCTCACTAGATCAGAAGGAAGAAAGTTCATGCAGATTCTTAGTTCTCGTGCTGCATTTATTTTAAACGTTATGAGACCTTGTAAAACAGTGTGTGTCTTACCAGGAGCTCATGGGGTCCATCATCACTTTCACTTCAGGAAGAGCTAATAGATCTTCAAGCTAGTTTTTCATAAAAACGTGTATTCTTTTCTGTCTCTGCCTCCTGTCCCCAGCTCTTAACGCCTGCATCCCCACTAAAGAGCATAAAGAATGGCATTTTTACTTTGAATTGTGATCCTCTCTCCCAATTCTGCCTTACAGCAATGGTTCAGCATGTATAAACCCATCACCTACAACACAGACCTGCTCACAGAAGAGACCGACTCCTTTGTGAACAAGCTGGATCCCAGCAAAGTGTTTAAGAGCAAGAACAAGACCTTAATTCCAAAAAAGAAAGGGCCTATGCAGCCTTCAGGTGGCCAGAAAGGGCCTTCAGGCCCCTCCACCTCTAGATCTTCCTCTGGCTCTGGAACCCCTGTCCGGAAATGAGCACCCCATCTCCAGTCCCCCACCAGCCCTGCAGTGGTGATGTCCATGCACAGATGGCCCCGGAGGTGGCTGCAACCACAGATTCTTTGTATGGAACCATAGGCGTCTTCCTATCTGAGTGACCAAAATCCTAGGCCTTTTCCTCCCTCTGACAGGAGTTGGAAGGGCACACAGAGGTCTCCCCAAGAGTCCTTCTTTCATAACCATCACAGCTGGTTGTGCTATCCCCTGCTTCCAGAAGCACTGGGTAAGTTGGGTTGTGTAAGTGGCCACATAAATCTGTTGAGAACTTTCCTGTTTCCACACCCAACCATCAGTCCCTTAGCAGTGATCTGAAATCCCCCAAAGAAACCGCTGGTTCTGACCCATGAGAATGGTTCAATCGGTAGTCACTTGTGGCTATTTAAACTTAAATTTATATGAAAATTTTTCATTTGCATTAGCCACATTTTGAGTATTCATGTGGCCAGCAGATTCCTTCTGGGAACATTTCCATCATTTCCTCAGAATGTTCTGTTGGACAATACTGCATTAGAATATTTCCATACTCTCCTCAGACCAATTTTGTTGTTAGATAATGTTGATGCCTTAATTTGATGAGTCATAATATTCCATGAAGACTCTTGAAGATACAGTTGTATGTTCTTTATATTGATTGCCACTAATATACCTCGCTCTGCTCATTTCTTTACAGTTTCCTATAAAGTTTTCTGCTTCCAGCTTTGTATTGTGATGTTTGCACATTTGTGAAAATTATCTTATTTTTTTAAAGAAGAGGTGTACTTCTGTTGTACTTTATTCTGACCACTTAAGAACAAAAAAACTCCCAAACATTGCAGGACTCATAAAGAGTTTTGATGAAACCAGCCACTGTTAATAAAAGCCACAGATTCTTTGTATGGAACCATAGGCGTCTTCCTATCTGATTGACCACCTTCTCTGCCTATTCACACTTCTGAGTTGTCCACCTCCACCCTGTGTGGTCCCTGACCATCTTTAAGACAAGCAGTCCCTGCTTAGACCAGGGTGGAATTCCAAGAGCTCGTTTGTAAGTAAGTTGCCTGTAGTTCAGAAGTCATTTTTCCATAGACACATAGGTACTAGAGGTACTAGACCTCTAGCCAGTCCACATATGCCTCATATTTGATAAAAGATAAATCTGAAATTACCTACTACCTCTAAAGGAATTTCTGTAGAGAAGGTTGCTCAGGTTTTAAATTAGGAATGCAACCCTGGCAGTGGGCAGAAGCAAGGCTTTCACTGTACTTCCCAGCAGGGAAAGTATGGAGTCACCCACCCAGGCCCAAGGACCTTGGGTGGCTGCAGTTTTTGTACTGAAGTCCCAGAGGGTGGAGAACGAAGAGTTCTGAGGAGTGAAATGCCTGGACCACCTGCACACTTCAGTCCTAACTGGCTTGTGCTGTTTCCTGATCTCTCTCTGCCACCATGAGAAGGAGGCTTCCTTCCTTTGCACTGCCTGTATCTGCTAATCAACCCAGGGTTTCTCTCTTCCGTGACCCACTGGGGAAGCTAAAAGCAGTCCCCAGGATTCTTCACCTGCATTTTTGCTCTGAAACCATTTTGATTATTTAGGAAGTTTTAAAATTTGTTTTGGTTGTTGACTATAGGGATAGATATTTATGAAAAAGAGGCTTTAAATCTTCCCTCCACTTACTCCGGCCCCTCAGAAAAACCAAGGTGAATAGTTGGCCTTTGAGGATCAGGGCAACCTAGCTGGCTGCTTCTCCATTTTTGTAATGCTTGAAAGTCTTGAAATATTAGTGCTCAAAAGTTTTGGGGAGCATAAACTGAGCTCCATGTTAATAGCTTATTCAGTTGCTTTAAAATGTGTGTACATCAACCATTCTGATTCTCTTCTAATGGAAAATGTTTAAAAGAGCAACACTCCTTATCTTTGCAATCCCAAAACGAACCACTTACAATTCAGCCTGGTCATCTAAACATTTCTGTGTGTGTGTTTTAACCATGACATGACTATGTCAAATCTTCCCTAATTTAGGAGACATCTTGGCCCTTTTATTAGCACCACATCCTAACCAACTGAGCTAACTGGCCAGCTGTTATTTTGGCCTTTTTAATTGCTTAGGTTATTATAATTTTAACATTTATAATCATGTAAAAATTCATGGAGTGACAGAAAAGGATAGAGAGTTAAGGACAGCATCTGGAGTTTAGTCTTCCAAAAGTATTTTTCTGGCCAGAGCTGATCAAAAGGAGAACCAACAGCACCAGATAAATTTTAGCATTTGGCTGCTTCTCCAAAACAAGTCAAGGTTAGAAGGGGATTGAGAAATCACGTCATCTTCCATTACAGCAGATATTCTTTCTTTAGTATTGTGGAGCTCCTGAATTACTTCTAAATCAGTCGTGGTCCAGTTCTAGATTCACGCGAAGCAGCAGAGGAACCAGGAGAGCAATGGTGCCCTTCAAATCAGTGGGAGTCCTCTAAAAAGTTGTTGAAGAAGGGGAGTTATAAGGAAAAGCTTAAGACCTGCCTCAGAAGGAGCAGAGCAGTGAAAAGCAGGGCCAGCCAGCTACATAATCTGCAAGACCCAGTGCAAAAGGAAGATGTGGGGCCATTTATTCAAAATCAGGAAGACAATACCATTGAAGGTAGTAAAATATTATGTTCTTCTCTTCCATGTTCTCACAACTGTTGTGATGAGGTTTTTTTTATTTGCTAGTTATTCTAAGTAAAGAAAAATTAAAATGTTTAATTATTAGCATGTATTTTACCATTCATCTTTATATTGTGCAATTCATTTCAAATGTGAACATAAGCATTTAACTCATGCAGAATCACCATAATTACACAATTTGTATTTCTTAGCTTATGTATACATACTGTATGCATATGTATTTCATTTTTGCTGGAACAGTGGAACTGCACAAAACTAGCTCAGCACTATTATTTCACTTCTGGATATGTGCACATTCTATAACACACACTACCTTTAACTTACTGAGTAAGGAAGGGCTGAAAGAAGAAGTATGGATTGCCCTATGTTTTTCTTTACTCCAGTGTCATCATTTCAGTATAAGTGGTTGGCTAATCCAGGAAAGTAACATGAGTAAGAAAGGATATGATAGAGCTCCTTAATCATTCATGTTTCTTAGAATGCCATTGCCACCTTTCTGCATTCAAAGCAAGTTTGGTTCAAATGGTGTGTGTGGCATCTTGGTGATCTCAGCACCCCCACTTACTCAGTTGTAGATATGACGTGCTTACCTTGTACTCTGAATCTCTGAACTCTGGTGCATCGTGGATCCACTGAAATACTGTGCTCATGGGACATCATGAAGGCTACATGTGAACGGGGCAGTAAGGCGCAGTGGACACACACATTGCACACGTCTCTAATCATGCATATGCTGTATTGTCCCATCAGACTTGACTTACAGAACACAGGTTCAAAGATAAAAGGAAGAATTTCAAGACAGTGACAAGAACATTAAACCAAGTGTGAGGCCCTTCTGAGTATGGGGCCCTATGTGACTGCACAGGTCACCCACCCATGAAGCTAGCCCTGGTGAAGGAGAAAGAAGCACTTCTAGCAAAAGACTTAACAACATGGAGGTTGAGTGGATTAAGTGGGGAAGAAACCCTGTGAAATTTACATTTGAAATTAAAGCAATTAAAATGGCAACAGGCTGTACTGTAAATCAACTGCTCAGGAAAAAGATACTGTGCTGGAGTCACAAAATGAGAATGGACTAATTCCTCATGATGCATTGACATTAAGATTGTGCATAAAGTGCCACATCATCTTGCTGCTTTCAGGGAAGTAACCAAGCCAAGGACAGGAATGAAAAGGGACAGCTTGCACATGGTAATCCACAGAATCTATCCTGTAAAGCTGTGCTCTCCAGCCTTGAAGAGGCACCAATGTCACTGGAGTCACTGGAGTGTGTAGAAAGTAAGATACCCAGATCCCACTCAGACCTACTAAATTGAAATTTCCAGGAAGGTTCCAGGCATCAGGATTTTTAATCAACTGAAATGGTGACAGTGATGCTCACCAAGTGTGAAACTTGCTGCTTAATGGGCCTGGGTTGTTTTGTTTTTTATTGCATGGAGAAGAATTCAAAATCTATTTTTAATCCAGCAAATCATTTATAATGACTGGAATAGAAGGACCAAGGGAGCTTTTTAGTTTCTGCATAATACATGTATTTCTTTCCTAAACTTTATAAGAATAGTATAATGAATCCCCATGAATCCATCACTTACTTTCAACAGTTACCAACTCATGACCAATCATATTTTATCTATAACCCTATTTACTCCTCCATTTTAATTTACTATTGGTTTTTAAGCTATACTTCTTTGCATTAAGTTTTAGCAGTTGCTCTAAAGATTACAATATATGTTAACTTCTCTTTGTCCAATACAGTAGCCACTCACACATAGGGTCCCTGGTAGCCATATTTGCGCACTGTAACTGCCCCCTTTGTTACAGTTGATCAGACGCTGGGTGGGTCAAGCCAGCTGTGCTCTTACCCTTGGGATCTTGTGATGAATCTCGTTCTTTGGCTTCAGCCAATCCAGACTAGATTCTGTTTTTCCAGACAAGTATTCTCAACATATGCAGCCTCCATTATAGATTTAATTGTGACCATTAAGTAAGCTAATACATAGGTGAGAACTCAGAATAGTCAGTCCCTCTTTTCTTTTGTAATGTGATCCCAACATAATGCTTCCAGCCATTAACTTTCTGCATAATCCATCTGGCTCTGCTCTTCTGAACCACTCGCTTTCCTTCCAGAACACTGGCTTGGTTTTCCTCCTGTGCCCCATGAGGTAGTGTAAGACTCCAGGCAGCTCAGACTTTCTAGGCCTCTGAATGGTTTCCAGCGTGGAAAGCTGTGGAGAACGAAGGAGCAGGTTTTATGTCTTCATGGTTTTCTGAATCTTAAAGCAGCTCATCTCCGCCCTCCCAGGGAGCAGGTGAGCCTGACTTTGGGATTGCCCTCCTGGCCTCAGAAATAATCACCCAAGAAATGGCATTTCTTGACTACCTAATACTCCTGGGAGAGCAGTTAAGTTACTCCACCCCCCACCCCCACCCCCCACATAAAGACTTGCAAAGAGTACCTTGGAGACCAACGAGGGCAGGGACACAAACAGCCCTGAGAATAGTTAAGTCCAATGTAAGGGAGAAACCTCATCCCTCAAGCAAAAACTGCAAGTGAGGAACAAACTATTAAGGACAAGATTAAACCCCTGGAAAAACAGCTTACCTTTACCAAGGCTCCAGCTCACAGCTTTACACTTTTCAACTGTATTTTGAAAACAAGGTCATTCCATGGGATAGAGACGGAGGTATAGATTGCACTTGAGGATCTGTGTGTAAATACTTGGTGGTTCCAGGGGCACATATGCTCCCACAGGTAGCTCTAGACCATGGCCACACAGGTTCTGGGACATGGTGTTGGGATTCTAGAATGTACGTTTAATGAACTAAATTTTCCTTTGAAATGTGATTCTAAAATAGACAGCTGTAGCCTTAATTACTGTCTGCACAAATCATGTTTTCAGGTCACTAAAATAATGGGAATCTACCTTCAATATTATGTCAGTTAAAAACAAAATTCAAGCAGGAGGCAAATTCAAAAATCTGTCTTACAACATTTTTTCATAAACACAAGCTCATAAAGTTTAATTTTACCCAACAGTTAATGAATTTCTATATTATGTTAATTCAGGAAGTTGTCTAAATTTCCAGTTGGAAATTTAATTAGGAATTTGTCTAAACGTTTACAGTTTCACAGAAGTTTTTCTTCCAAAAAGAGAAAGTTGTTTTTTCACACCACCTGCTGGTCACTAAAATAATGGGAATCTACCTTCAATATTATGTCAGTTAAAAACAAAATTCAAGCATGAGGCAAATTCAAAAATCTGTCTTACAACATTTTTTCATAAACACAAGCCCATAAAGTTTAATTTTACCCAACAGTTAATGAATTTCTATATTATGTTAATTCAGGAAGTTGTCTAAATTTCCAGTTGGAAATTTAATTAGGAAGTTGTCTAAACGTTTACAGTTTCACAGAAGTTTTTCTTCCAAAAAGAGAAAGTTGTTTTTTCACACCACCTGCTGACAGAGAGCCACTGGATTAGAACACATTTCCTCCCATTGAGAGTGCATTTTGAGGATGGGTGAGCTGTGAATGGACTCCTTTATCCCCTTGACATTTCTAATCTTATGCCTAATCTTCTACGCCAAGAAACGCTCTGAAGTTGATTGAATTGCTCTGTTCTGTAGCCAGGTCTACCACCAGCTGCTGTGTGCTGAGTTCCAGTAAAAGGACCTTTTCTAAATCAGTGTATCATCAAGGATGCCTCTTCAGGGACTGTATAAACCAGCTACAAGAACTTCCTTAGGCAGCCAGCTCTTGTATAGCTACCACATTTTTATTTGAAAATTGGGATTTAAAAATAAATATGTGATTCCATTGGGTACATGATTCAAGTGTTTTTTGGAAAGGGAACTGCTATGTTCTAGCCCACTTCCCTGCTCGGAAGTATCTGGCTATTCCCCCAGTGGAACCATTCTCAGAGTGGGTTTAAAAGCATTTTTAGGCAGATTATTAGAGGGCAGGGTTTCTCTGAAAGGAAATGAAATTTCTGGTTAATTTTCTGAAATGGCAAAAGCCAAGCCCTTCACTTTACTGGGCCAACTGTATAGTCCAAGTACTGCAGTGACCTATCATAGTCCAGGAAAACTTGCTGCTGACACAGAGGAACACAAGACGCCCCTACTTACCTAGTGGTGGATTTAATGCGATATCTGCAATGTGCTATGCATGTCCTCTGTGGAATATCTTTTTAAATTTGACCAAGACCCATTTCCTCCTATTTCCACCTAAACCAGATAACGTATAGGTATCAAAATGTATAGAGAAAAATGTGCTCAATAGAAACTGGCTGTCAGGCCCCTCTGATGAGAGCTGAGGAGCTGAGTGTATGAGTATGCAGACATGGGGACTAGCCACAAGCAAGCACCCTGCAGCATCAAGCCCCAGAGGCGGAGTGTGGCCATCACACACTGACCACATAGCACATGAACTGCAGTGTCACAATCATTCCTCAGTTACGGTCAGAATGTACAATTTGTCACTGTCAGGTGTTGCTTCTAATTATCCAGCCTATTTAATTTTCCTGCACATGCAATGCTCTACTTTTTTAATTGGTTATCAATATTCATGAGATACAAAGCTGATCGTCACGCCTCGTGCCCAAGATGTGAAGGCCAGATTCATACTGGTAGTATGACCATTACCACAAATTGCATTTGTACCCCGTGTCCCCTACCCAATTATCCCCAACTTCCCTCTACCTCCCCCACTCCCCACAACTCCACTTTGTATCCCAAGGTATGTTCTCTCCCTCTGCAAGAATGCACCACTGTGGTCTTTCTGCAATGCTCTACTTCTAAACTACAAATCATTGTTGATAATCCAGCACTTTGTATCCCAAGGTATGTTCTCTCCCTCTGCAAGTCCAATGCACCACTGTGGTCTTTCTGCAATGCTGTACTTCTAAACTACAAATCATTGTTGATAATCCAGTAGTTAGGGACAATTTCCACTGTCAACAGCTGAACTATGTTTGAACTACAAAATCCCAAAAAATATCAATTGTTACTTCTTCAGGTGGCTCCTCTTAAAACAATTCTTTTTCAAGACAGTAGTTAAACAGTGCTCATTAAAAGAA